GTGGTGCCCCATCGGCAGTAGAAAGCCAAAGTCAATGAGTGCCGCGCGAGTCGCCGTTGCCGAAATTCCGATGTTCTCGTGCTCTGCGTGCTGTTCCTGTTATCTGCTGTCCTGCGGTGCGGGCTAAGATAAAAACACACACACACACGCACACACACACACACACGCACACGCACACGCACACGCACACACACACACACACACACACACACACACACACACACACACGGACACACACGGACACACACACAAAAGCGGGAAGAGTTGGTGCAATCTTGGGGCTCGTGGTTGTCGCATGTGAGCGACGCGGGGAAGTGGTCGGGAAAAGAGCGCAAGCGCTACCTGATAGGTTCAACAAAATATGACTCACGCGGAGGCCGCCATCTTTTTTTCGCGACTGATTGCTTTAAGTTTACGGTACTAAGTAGACGGAAGTTGGTGACTGTTAAAGACAATGGTAGTGGTTGTCGGCGCGGATCGAGCTGATGGACTGGGCTCGAAAACATTCATTCTTCTGCAAGCTGGTAACCGACTGAACTCTATGAGAATGAAATTATTCCAAACTTCGAAACGTCCCAGAGCGGAGTAATGCCAAGTTATGCATTCCGGGAATCAGTTGAAAGAAAAATCCATACGCGCTCCGTTCCTGGCCCACAGTTCCCAGAATGCAACTCGAGCGATGACGGGTTTATAGACGAGTCTATTTTCTGGATCGCGCATTCCCGCTTTGTCGCTGCAGCGCAAGGGTGCCCACCGGCAGTTCTTAATTAGTCATCTTGGGTTTCCGTATATCAACCGGTGAAGTGCTGCAGAAACCGGGTGGCTGCAGGTTGAAAGACACGCGTTCTGCTCGATCGTCGTCATTTTATGAATACGTTTTTGAAAAGCCTGCGTGAACGGTTGTTGCTGCCTTTAAGAACAAGGAGAAATTTTCACTATGCGCAGCGCAGCAGGAGAAACACAGAACTCGCCGTATGCATGTCTGGCAGGCACGCGGCATTATCAAAAGACTTGCCTTGGCACGCCTAAGTGCTACGTCGTTGTGCCTTCGCACGCTTGGACACCGATCAAGAATCGACGCCGTGTGGACGTTTTAACCATCCGGGAATGTTTTTTGAAGCTGTGTCGTGTGTATATTTCTTCGCTGCATACATATCGGTCACGGATTTTGAGATCGTCCAGTTGTTCTGGCGTGTTGCTATTACTGATCAGTGGTTGCTACCAAATAAGAAAAGTACAATTAGTATTGTCTCACTTTCCTTTTCCCACACATCGCAAGAAGAACACACGAAGGCTATGCGGTCAACCGCTGATCCGTGCGGTATTCTCTCGCTGTTATCGTGTTAAAAAGAGGACGTACCACCGGTTAGCGTAACGTTGCCTTGGGAATATCTTATCACTGGGTGCGAACTGTAACAATGTTTATTTCGGTTCACTCCGCCTGTCTCTGGGGCATGCGTTGGACGAGTTGTGCTTTTGTTTTTTGCGGTGCTGCGTATTTGTAAAAAATTCTACGGGTTTCATAAAAACATCAATGACCGTTTACACAAAGAAAAAAAAAAGAAAAAAAAATCCTTATTCCGCGAATGATGGCGAACGAATAAAAAACGCGTCTGTGAGCCCAGCCTCTGCAACGCTTTGATCTACATATGCCCAAGATGGCCGGTGCTGAAATTCCGGTGGCCTCATTTATGGAGCGGAAAAGTGTGATGCAGCAAATTGTCATAGATATCAGTATGGTAACCCGAAGGCAGTCCATGTTTTTTCGTCCTGACGTACTGTAATAAACATTTAAGTAGTAGCTATCTGACCAGATTTGTACAATTATTAGAGTTCCGAGTTTCTAGATAAAAACCGAGAAAATCACAAAATTTATCACCCGGGAAAAAATAATTAAAATCGGAAAAAAATATAAAAAAGCTCTTGAACAAATGAAAAAAAAAAAAAAAACCAAACTTACTCAAATCAATTTCTACTACAGTTTTGTTTTGTGTTGTCTCGGAGTTTCCTTGAGGCTGCTTCTTTCTTGCGGAATCATTATCCCTTTACATCCCTTATCGGTACATGGTCATATTCCGGTTTCCAAGTCTTCTGGTCACGCGCATGACCCTTGGGTTTGAAAGATCCCTTTCTTCTGTCACTACACCTCGACGTTGTGAGCGACTGCCAAAATTGCCACCAAAAAGCACCGAATTCGTGAGGAAAAAAGTCCCAAAAGTACACCCCCCGAATGCAAAAAAAAAAAAAAAAAAGACTTCGAAAGCGCAGCAACCTAATCAACATTATTCTGGTCCATTGGGAATTTCTGAAGGGAAAACATATCAAGTTTCGATACTTCTCAAAGTAGGTGCATCGCATGAGATGTGCCTGGACATATACAAGAATTATTGAATTATGCCCATACACTGAGTTTTAAAGTCCTCGTACTCCGATCCTTTCATCTATATTTATTGACCCCGTCAACACGACGTAAAAGTGCGTAAACCTTCGTGTGTGGCCAGTTACAATGAGTGCAGATTATGAAATTCCTGCGAAAAAGGGAATCTGTTCACCGCACTTCGTATCAGGGTTGGGCAGTATCGCGATACAAATGTATCGCGATAGTATTTCAGAAATACGTTTCGTATATGTATTTCTGTATCGCGATACTTTTTTCACTAGTATCTGTATTCCTGTATCGGAATGCATTTTGAATGCTCAATTTGTATTGCAATACAATCACGGTGAAATGTATTTCGTTACATTTCTTGAGAGATACCTCTCCCTCCTCCCCCCCCCTCCCCGGAAAAAAAAATCTAATACATTTTTTTTTTTATTTCTGAGGGCACCAGGGCCAAGGAGGTGCTGGGGAATCGTTACTATACTGACCAAGGTTCCTTCCGATTCTCCAAACTATTCTCCTATGCGTCGTCTTCTCCCTTCTAAGAAGTGTTGCGCAGTTGGGGACTCGAACTAGGTGGCGTGCCAGGAGTGGAGTCAGAGCATCTTCTGCCGCAGGTCCTTAGGTAGGGATGCCTTGAGTTATTATTTTCTGACATCCAATGCCCGCTGCGAACCATCTCTTTTGCCTTAGCGTACGCAGTACACCCGGCCGGCAAAGCTGAGTCACAGTCCGTTACAACAAGAGCCTGGAGGTGGTGGACTTGAAGTAGTAGGATGATTCACGAAGTGAAGTTCAACACATATTCGAATGCGCCTGCGGCTGCTCTCGTAATATTGCATGAACTAAGGGTACGTCATCAGCCGACGTGAACGTGACCCACTGCTCTGGTGATCCGAAACCCAGGAAGGAAGTCAGACGTGGCCTCGCTGTGCCGACCCAGACTTCGTACACCTGCGACTCGTCTCGACCTCGCTGCTTCTCGGAGAGCTCGCACCTGTGCTGGCAATATCAGGTCGAAATCTACGAGGTCTCTATTTGGAGTATGCAAGACAAAACCTGAGGACTGCAATCCATGCGTCGGTGGAAGAGTGTCGAGAGGAAAGACCTTTACAACAGGGATGCCACCATATCGTTTTTTCAACCGTAAGAGAAGATAAGGCAGGTGTTCCAGGATGCTTCAGGTAGTCCACTATTCTCGAAAAATTCATATGACACTGCCTGCTCGATCTTCAACGAGGTAACCTACAACGAAAGTACGTATTGTCCTTTCATACAGCAGCGTGCTAAAGTTTCATGCTCGAGGCCACACGGTACACACACACACCTACAAATAAAGAATGCCAGTTCATTCCACCGTGACGTCATGTGATAAATGTTGACAGGGGCGTCCCTATTGATCTGGGGCGTGGTGGTTTAGGATGACATATACTTTATTTAGAGGTCGAGGTCTTTTCGCACCCCTCATCAGACAGACAGGATGTCAGGGAGAGGACCGCGGTCAGTCCTTGATGGAACGTTTTTTTGAGCCCATTGAGGACGCCTCGTCGTCCGAAATCACTACCTTCAAGGCAAATTTCCAAGCCTACGGTAAAGTAATTTCGAGATAAAAAAAAGTTAACCTCCAACTTCAAGCATTTTATTTGGCGTCTCAAATAAATTTGAACAATGTATTGCAGTATCAGTATTTCTGTATTTGTATTTCTGCCCTCCCTAAAATGTATTCCTGTATTTGTATTTCCAAATACTTTTTGCCTCTTTTTAAAATGTATTTCCGATACATATCGCGATACACTTTTACAGATATATATCAGTATCAGTATTTTAGCTACTATTTTAATGTATCCCAGTATTTGTATTTCCAAATACATTTTTGGGTATTTCTGCCCAACCCTGCTTCGTATTGTATATCAGCATGTCACACGTAAAGCATCAACGAATTGCCGACAAGATGTAGGTATACGTATCTTGTTTTTATTATGCTGGTATAATAATTTTGTTTTAATCTATGTACAAATTTTGTTTTCAATACAAACTCACTTTATATAAAAAAATAATAATAATAAAAAATAACCTCTGAGACAGGATGACACGGGGGCGTACCATCTGTCATTTCTTTATTTGATATTAAAATGCCACTTACTCGACATAAGTGAGTTCAAATAAAATTAATAGCCCTCAAAATGCATATTTTATATAGACATGATGTCGCAATCAGTGACGTGGGTAGGCCATCCGGCATCCGCGTCCCTTATGTCATTTGTGGCCGCCATCGCCCCCTTCACTCCCCGAGTCCTCAACCAACAGGTAAAATGGGGGGACGGGGGGGGGGGGGGGGGGGGGGTTGGGTTGCTGAGGCACCCCCTTATGCGACCGGGGTGCCTGGTACCCGGTCCCCCCCCCCCCCTCCCCCTCCTTTTCCGCGTTGATACGCCACTGGGCTCAATAAACACGCTCCAAATTTTAAGAAAATAGAATAAACACGGAGCTCTCCACAGGATTAAAACGAACTGCAGTACGTTGGATCTCCTTTAGATCTAAAGTGAATAAAGACACCTATTTTATAAATAAGAACAAGGTAGACAGTTTCCTATTATACCTAATCGTTTACACTTTCCAGGGTTTACGGCCGGCCGACGATGATGAACGAAAACCTTTCGACGCGCAAGTTTCTCAAGGGACGAACGGACGGAATCTTCTCAATTTCAAAGGACAGCATTTCGTTCTGCAAGATTTTTGAGGATCCACACGCAAGCACGGCAGAAAAGAGCGTCAGCCTTAGGAAGGCTGTTGAAAGCCACAAGCAGGAAGCTAACCTCGTAAGTTCAGGGAACCTTCAATATAAATATTTGCGGTGGGATCGCCGTAGATGTCAGGCCGCGGCTCAGGCGACGCTCCGCTTTGGTGGCGCTGCTTGCAGCACCAGGCATGCGCTGAAGCTTCACTTGGCGTAAACTCGATTCCTATGTGGAGAGCAAGTTGTCTGCTTCTTGCTCAGGAGTTGCGGTGACGTGTGAACGGCGCCGTGCTCTCATTGGCTTTAATTGAAAGGATAGTGTGTAGACCTCACAGCTTAAGGTCTACTTTTTTTTTTGTTTTTTAATCAGCCAATAAGAGCTTGGCGTTCTGAGATCATCGCCACCTCTGTGCAAGAAGCAGATGAACTTTCGCTCCGCATAGACACACGGTGTCCGCACCGGGTGTGGGAAAACGCTGGTTTTTTCATTGACATCGCGTACGCGCACAATTACGTTGTCGTTCCAGAAAAAGAAAAGAAATTAATATATTAGCGTAGCATCTTTATGTATCTATTACACGAACCGTTTCAATCTTCATTATGGCATGTCGGCATGATGACAGTTCCAATGGTTCGTGTCGGTGACTGCCGCTGCCAGCATTCAGCGACATCTACTGCCATGAGGCTCAGCTCTGCTGAAATGGTTCTAAGGGGCGATTTTTCTCCCAGTCAAAACCCAAGCGATATTAACTCTTGTCTCACATGAATTCTCTAAATTGTAAAATAATTTGATTTCACTCGCAACATCTATTTCCGATAAGAGTTTGAACAAGACTGTTGTACGACATTTTTGCATCCTGGAGCGGAAGAATAAAGTTTAAAACGTTTGAAACAAAAGCACTCGAGAGACAAAAAGAAGGAGCCGCCTTGCTATTGACAAAAAAATAACTGCGCTTGTAGACCTAGATCGTGGTCTTTCGTGGGCAACTGTGACCTGCGGGGATCTCTCTAAGAGCAGCTCCTCCCCCAAATATGCGCGCAACGCGGACCGTCGCGGCCGATGCCGGAGAAGCCACCGTCTTGAAGTCAGTTAAAGAAGTCATTCTAATTTCGCTAAGCTAGGAGACGACACTTTAGTTCAACCGACGTTATTTGCTCATTAATTGAGCTCATGCTCACCGCCGTGAAACTCTGGTCATTGGCGAATCAGTTAACTATCTTTAGCTAAATAAGTATTGAGAGAGCCTGTGGAACACGGGATATCGTATCATAAAAGGCATCCCATTGGACGCTTTTTTCCGATTTACAAGCTCATGTTTTGTTGATGAAGTCAACTTCTCATCTGTCTTATTATTTTCTATTGTAGACGTGCCGTTTGAAAAATGTTTTTAAAATAAAATTTTTAATTTACCGCTCAACATCTTCTGTATTCTTTTAATATTTTTAATTCGCTTCACTATCCCTTTTTCCACCCGATTGTCAAAATCAAAATTCACACTTACACTTTTTTCTTTTTTTAAGGCGAGCAATGGCCGTGGTTTGATTAGACTCTTCACTCTTCTGAGAACCACAGCAGTTGAGAATGGAATACCACTTCACGACTTCTTCACGGGTGCAGCGTACCAGACTAGCAGACACGTTACCCTCGTAACCAGTCAGGTATGCGATCTGCACAAGTTCCTGAGAATGAGGGACGCAGAATGAGTGCTGACACGTACTTGCTGACCGGTCAATGGGGCATTCCGGAAATACGCAGCGACTTCGTTTCCATTGTCTTTTCGATGTACTACGGCAATCCGATCTACGCCGTGGGCGGAAGGAGTTCCCATGAATTGAAGCAACGGTTCATGTTTGTTTATTTAGCATTTTGCGATTTTAGAACGCAAAGAAAGTAGGACAGTGTGCGAAACAGACAAAAAATGTGCAAATCGGCTTTGCGATCTGTTCGCTTTTTTCTTTTCCTTGAGTGTGTTCTGAACTCGTAGCGGCAGAAGAGAAGGAATGGAGCCCAAGCCATATATATATAGAGTTTGGTCATTCATTGGGAAGTTTAAGAAACAAAGGAGGTGACGCCATTGGCCGAAAGTGGGCTGGTCGTGTTCCCAGGTGTCTTCACAAATTCGAATGTGGCCAACCAGAATCCGGAAAAAATACCCTGGCGGTGGTCGCGAGAAACAAACTTAACAAGCGCCTAGGAGTAACTCTCGGTGATTGAAAGTATGGTGCATATGATGTTTTAATCATGGTCATCCAAAAATAATGGTGGAAGAGCGCGACTAGCGAAATGGCCCACATAATTTGTGCGCCAGGCGCCAAGGGCGGGGAATCTGCCATCCGAGCGGTCACACTCTGTCCGAGCAAAATAGAGTTGAGCGGAACATTCGTTTCTTACATCTATCTGCATTATCATGACCGAAACATCACGTTCACCCTATTTCCTACCATAAAGAGTTACAACACTTACCTCCTACGCGCTTATTAAAGGAAGTGACTACATTTAACTCCTACGCGCTTATTAAAAGAAGTGACTATTTTGACGTCCTCTTCCAAAATAATTTTTGAATATCATGTTGCCGTCCGTGGCGCTGCTTCCTGAAGACGTAAAGTTATTTTCACAACTTTTTGACGGCCCTTGTCAAATTATTTTGATCCTTTGATGATGTGTCAAACTTGAAGCTTTGCAGACCGCACTAAAAATAATCGCAGGTGACGGTAAAAAAAAAAAAAAAAAATGGACGCATCTCCACGTGATGAATGATGTTGATTGGGGCGAAGCACTTAATGGTGTTGATGATACTGAACTTATTGTTCATAGGTAGTGCTGATGGTGGTGATCTTTTTTTTAATGCTTATAGGTAGTGCTGAGTTCCGAGTTGCGTTTCGACTTCATTATTACCGCTGTATGGTCGGTGAAATGCAGAGCCAGTGGTTCTTCTAGCGCAGTGGTTCCCAGCCATGGATGTGTCGGGGACGCCTTGCGGACCGCTGGCAGTGATGGGGGACCCCTTCCAGCGGAGGGGGGGGGGGGAGGGGGGGGAGGGGGGGGGAGGGGGGGGGAGTGAGGGGACGTTAGTACGTTAACACATCTGGAGCATGCAACAGGTGCCTTTTATTGCTACGTAGCAGAAAAACAAAACAAAGGCGCCACATCACTTCATTCTGGTCAGTTCATCAATACGTGGCACACTCGCGCTTCAAACTACAAAAAACGTGCCAACTAAAAAAAAAAGTAATTTTTGTTGAGGGTCTCGCGGACCCCAGAAGTGGCTTCGCGGACCCCTTGGGGTTCGCGGACCCCTATTTGGGAACCACTGTTCTAGCGGGTCAACTTGGATCCTCTAGAAGCTTGGACCCCCTAGACAAAATGGACGCATCTGCACGCTTAACAACGGTCCATGTCAGAAAGAGTATCTGTGGTATGGAACGTGGTTATATACGCACTTGAGCATTTGACCGTATCGCGCTCTCGTGTATAAACGTTGAGCCAATGCATGGAAAGTTTAACGCGATTATATACGCATTTGACCGCAGCGCTCCTGTACAGATGTTGAGCGGCTAGATGCATCGTTGGAGTGTAGCGTACTGGTTAAAACGTCTGCCTCGATCGTAAGCAAGCGGTCCTGAGTTCAAACCCCCGTGCGGGCGTATGTTTTTTAACAGTGGGCCGATCGCGGAGGCAGTGCAATCGATGTGAACACGGACGCCGGACAAGGCTAATAGACCCGAAGAAGCTTCGCCCCTGAAAAGAAAGAAAAAAAGAACAGAAATTACTTTATTGCAGGCAGTGTCGCGGTTTGACACGCATTTTCCTAAGACAAATGTCATGCAGTCGACTGCTGCTTGTATGAGCCTTTGAATAATGCATCATGTAAAAAAAAAAAGAACTTGTCAAAATATTTAAGTATAAAAGCGTTCAGACAGTTAGAAGTGTTTGTTGGGTTGTGCCAAATGTTACAGAATGATGTACGACTGCTTTTCATGATCGACTTCACGTGATTTATATAAACAAAAGAGCTGAATTCAGTGTCATAAGTTTTGCAACTGATTTGAAATTGCGTGTATTTCGTACAACCGCCCAAGAACCTTTGTTCGTTCGCGCCGGTCAAGAAACATGAAGGAGACAATGTTTTGTATTTACAACCCTTTACTTAACACCCCGATGGTTACGTAGCTAGCCCGCTCGTTTTGCACTCGAATCAAAAAGAAATTCTCAACTAAACAACGAACTCTCGAAACCCGGTTAAGAAGAGGGCGGGAGTAAGATCTCCAACCATACGACCATACAGCGAACACGCGCCTGCACAGTATTCATTCATTTCTTTATTTTGAATACCCTCATGGCCAGTTGGCCTTACAGAGAGGAGGGGGGGGGGTTAGTAAGGCGATTATACATAACGCTCCGAAACAAGTTGCCGTCGCTGATGGTGACGATATTCTCTGGGAGGTCGTTCCAGGTCACAACGACGTCTGGAAGGGCAGAATAAATATAGGCCGTTGAGTTGGATTTGGGCCGGGCTATCTTGCAGGGATGATCAAACATCGGAGAGATTTAAGTAGGCGGGTGAAGCAAGGAGTGATGTGAGGTAGGGCGGTAATAAATCTTTGTGCAGAAGATATAGACGGGAAATGTTACGACGAACAGAAAGTTCGGGATGTCAAGCTGGGCTCTGATGGCAGACACACTGGAGAAACGTGACTAATCAGACAGGATGAAACCAACGGCGCAATTGTGGACAGACTCAATTTTGTCGCCTTAAATTAGTTGATGAGGACTCCAAATCGAAGATGCATATTCTAATTTAGGGCGAACAAGGGTAGTATAGAGAAGACGTTTAAGGACAGTAGAGGCAGACTTGAACTTGCGGCGTAAATATCCTAAACTGCGGTTAGCCGATGCTGTGATAGTATTAATATGAGTATGCCAGGAGAGATCAGAAGTAATGTAAACACCTAGATGCTTAGACTCATTAGTATAAGTAAGGGCTGTACCGTGGAGAGTGAGGTTCGGCTGGGGGCAAGATGGACAACGGTAGAAAGACATCCATTTACATTTATCAATGTTAAGAGCCATCTGCCACGTAACGCACCAGTCGGCTATATTAACAATGTCTGTCCGTAAAGTTAGGAAGACATCGGGGGTTGTTATTTTTTTGTGCACAACACGATCATCAGCGAAGAGACGAAGAGAGAAAAGAATGTGAAGTGGGAGATCATTTATGTTTGTTAGGAAAAGGAGAGACCCAAGGACAGTACCTTAAAGGCCGCTGTACAAACGGGACGTTCTGCAGGGAAGAACCTTCTCTCCCGAAGCTGGAGACGGGGAGGGAAAGGGCCAGCGTTGGGTGGAAAGGGCGTCTAGAGAATGGGATTAGCCTCGGGGCGAGCCATCCTCTCGAGAGGGAGTGGGGACGGAACAAAGCTGGCCGTGGTGGTTCCGGCTAAAAGGTGGAAGAAAGTTAAGCTTGTCAAACGGCGACCTCGGATGAGAGGACGGGCACGTCAAAGAATTTGAAAATAGCTGCTTGATTAGCCGGACGACCCAGTGCAGTCTACTGGCTCTAGAAGGTGACTTGGATGAAGAAAACTCGTTTTGCTCCAAAACTCTAAAAGCATTCTGGAACGTGAATTCTTGCCACAAATAAAAATAACACATACATGAAAAACTACGAAGGCACCTAAGCTTTCTCCTATGATGTGAGAATGCGTGAGCATTACAGGCAGAGTTATGTTGGCGCAACTTGCAATAAAGAAAGAAAAAAAAAAGTTATGTCGGCGCAACTAGGCGCAACGAATAGCGCGCTAGTTTCACGATCAAGGGGGCCTAGCTTCGAAACCGGGCAGGGATGGTTTTTTTCTCGTGTTCTTTTTTTATTTCGTTTATTTTTTTTTCGGTCACCTGACAATAAAAATTACACGAAAAAAATTTTTTTTTGGCCACGTCACCAGAGATTTTTTTTATTATCATTTCTCCTTTTCTTCTGTTTTTTTTTTCCTTTTTTTTCGGTTTACGCTCCCTTTTGCAAAACTCTTTGCACCTATTTCGCGTTACTTTGGCGTTAGCCAAATCATTTTATTTATGGCAGGGAATTCTGCCGTACGTATCTTATGTTACTATTACCAACCCTGGCTTGCAATTCGCATAGAGAATTTCGTCCGGCAACCAGTTTGGGAATGACGGGGCCAAATTTGTGTTATAATTTTTTTGAGGTAAAAGCATAATTTCGGCCTCGTTATCCGTCGGTCTCTATGATTGGCTCTTCAAGTATCTTTTGGGAAGGCAGAGGACTGGCATTTTTAGAGTGCACGTCTGTCGACCAGAGTGAACATTGCTGAAGCGCCTCCAGTGTGATTTTGGCCGTAAATAACTGAAGGCCCCGGCAAACCCACCCAATGTAGAAAAGTATCTACCTTTCTGGTTTCATAGAGAGCTATGAAAGGGACGAATCCCAGCCGAGTCAAACTACCGGCTTGCAAACGCAATCGTGTTGACAATAGCTCCAAGGAGTTTGTATGATTCTCTCTGGCGGTGTGCAGAGGGCAAAGGCATGGAGGTAATATATGCTTTCGCCTAGTCACCTCGCAAACGATTGGGTATTGGCTGCAGAGATCCATTTCGCTTTGTTTTATTACCGGGATTACAGCATGATTTCTGTGTTCCT